TTGCGTGGCCATTCACCCAGCTAAAAGTCAGGGCAGAGTGGATCTGGGGGAACAATGAGCAGTCTTTGCCAACGGTACATACTACTGTTAACCTCTTCTACAGATGAAGAAACGTAGAAATTGGTCATTCAACTGGGGACACAGAGTTAATAGGTAATAAGTTAGAATTTGCAAAGTATGGGGGCCGGCAGGTGGCCTGGTGGTTAAAGGCACTAGACTCCCACATGGTCAACTGTGGTTCAAGTCCTGGATCTAATGGCTTGCTTTATCACTTCCCCTTTCTCCCTCTCCCTCTCTCTCTCTCTCTCTGGTCAAATTAAAAAATAATAATAACAAATGGAATTAAATGAATAAATAAATAATTCTTTTTTTAAAAAAAGAATTTGCAAAGTATTCTGTGACAATTTTCTCATGGTCCTCCATTAGTAAGGTATTAACTATTAATCGTCTACATTGCTCAGGAGAAATTATACAAAAACAGTTCAGTTCAAAATTTACTGTTTGGGGACCAGCAGATGGCGTAATGGTTACATCACTGGACACCCACAAGGCTGACCACAGTTGGAGCCCTAGACCCATAGGCTTGAAACTCACACCAGGCGCGTGTGCGTGCATGCCCAAAATCCCAAGAGGAGAGTGGAGGAGAAGGGACTGTGGCATGGCCATCCCCCTAGAGGGTGATTTCTTGCTTTCTGTCTCTCTGTCTCTCCAGTGAGCATGCACATCCTATAGCAAAAATCTCTATTAATAAAAGAAGGGGGGAGGGCTGGCAAGTAGCATAGTGATCAAGAGGACTGGACTCCCACATGGACAACTGCGGTTCAAGTTCTGACCGGGCGGCTTGCTTTCTCACTTTTTCTCTCTCTGGTCAAATTAAAAAATAATAGTGACAAATAAATTTGAATTAATTATTTTTTAAAAAAGAGAGAATCTTGGTGTTTTATGTTCAAGACATTGCTTATTTTATCAAATAGAATTTTTTTTAAGATTTTTGAAATAGTGCATGTGCACTCACTGAAGAGAGACTGAGAGGGAAAGTGATAAGTCACCCCTGTGGGGGACGGCCATGCCGCAATCCCTTCTCTAGTCTTCTTTCAGCCATGCACATGTACCAGGTGCATTTTTCAAGCCAACAGTTCCAGGACTGAAACCGTGGAGCAGTCACGTGGGACTCAGTGCCTTAACCACCACGCCACCCTAGAAAAAATGTTTAAGTTTACTTATTTACTTAACTGCATGAGATAGAGAAAGCCACATACCTGTGATTATTCTCCATTTCCAGCCTTCCAGCCAGCCAGAATTTGACCTCAGGGACTTCCCATATGGCCCCAGCATTGTACAATGACACCCTGTCACCTCTGCTACCACAGCTGGGCCTAGCAAGTAGATATTTTTAAAGCACAATTACCACTGTGCCAGGCAAAAATGTGCAGATTAACAAGATGTGGTCTCCTCTATGGGGGGGGGGGGGGTGTGATTTCTAGCTTTCTGTCTCTCTGTCTATCTCGGTCTTTCTGGTGAGCACATGCGTCCTATAGTAAAAACTTCTCCCGCCCAAGCCCCCAGTGGCTCCAGCTAGAGTATCTCCACTTCCACAGCCGAGCTGAAGCTCAGCACTGGGATCTTAACCACAGCAGCCACAGGTCTGCACCAGGCACAGGAGACAGAGAAACGAAACCCCTCACTCCACCCTGCTCATTCCAAACAAGAGGACACGTGGAACAGTGAACTGGGAAAGGGAAGAGGGGAGACAGATGAGGAAGGTCAGGATTGAGGGAAGCACAGGAACAAGCCGGGGTCAGGAAAAAGCAGGGGAATCGGGACTGTGGGGGCTGTGGGGAGTAACACAGGGTTTACCTTCCCCTCCGGGAAGATCACCACCGCCCACAGTCCTCCTGCCCAGCCTGGTCCCACTGACCAGCTCCAGGGCTGCCCCACTGTCGTCTAAGCACTGGGCCAGCTGTGAACCATGCAGCAGAGACCAATAGAGATGGTCTCCACCCCCAAACAAGGGCGACAGAGTGCCCAGAAATAAATGGATCGTGGGGGCCAGTAGGTGACATGGTGGTTAAGGGCACTGGACTCCCACATGGTGGTTCGAGTCCCGGACCGGGTGACTTGCTTTCTCTCTCTCTCTCTCTCTCTCTCTCTCTCTCTCTCTCTTTTTCTCCCTCTCTAGTCAAATTAAATTAAAATAAATAAATAAAGTTAAATAAAATAATTCTTTAACAAAAAATAAATAAATAGATCATGGTAAGTCAGGACACGCACAATGAAGGCAGAGAACAGGGAAAGATGCAGGAAACACGAGAGCACACAGGAGCGACCCAGCATGAAACGATGGGGAACGATGGTGTGGGAGACGGCCAGGGGAGCTCCCCAGGCCAAGGCACCAAGGTAAGAAAAGCAGAAGAAGGTGCCAGGTGCATGGTGGGTTCGGGGGAGTGGTGAAAACACTGTCATTTGCATCTGTTTGGTCTCTGGATGGAACACCATCAGGAGATCAGGTGTGTTCGGGACAAGAGCAACTACCCCTAAGGACACCATTGTGGACATCCAGTGAGCAGGGACTCTGACCTGGACGAGGTCAGCTAGGTGAGATGAAGACATGGGGCTGGACTCAGAGGTATTAGGACAGGGGAGCCAGAGGCCTGGGACAGCAGGATGGGAGCACCGTGTCGCGGGGTCAAGTGTGGGCTCCTGAGAGAGGTGGCCAGCCTGGTGGGCAGCAGGACACACACACAGTGAACCTGGCTCAAGACACCTTGCCACATCCGAGGCCAAGGAGCTGCACCGAGGACTACTAAGACCATGTCAACAAGGAGAGAAGTCCCTCCGGGCAGCACAATCCACACAGTGAAGGGCGTGACAGCCGCAGGTCTATCGGCTAGTAAATGGAAAAACAAACCGCAGTCGATCTGCACGAGGGAATATTGTCCAGCCGTTGGTTAAGAGGAAAGAATTGGGACCAGCAGTTAGCGTAATGGCTATGTCGCTGGACTCCCACGTAGTCGACCGCGGTTCACGGCCCGGACCTGGTGGCTTAAAACACGCCGGGCACATGTGCGTGCGTGCCCAAGGTCCCGAGAGGAGAATGGAGGAGAAGGGATTGCGGCATGGCCATACTCCCTGGGCAGGGGGGGAGAGAGGATTTCTCGCTTTCTGTCTCTCTGTCTCTCTCTGTCTATCTGGCAAGCGCACACGCCCTATAGCAAAAACCTCTCAAAAAAAAAAAAAAGGAAAAAATTACTGACACTTGATGCAACTCGATGAACCTTACTGTTACACTAAGTGAGAAAAACACACATATAAAGGACCTCATGGTTTATGACTCTGTTTATATAAAATACCCCAAACAGGGACTAGCAGTTGGTGTAATGGTTATGTCACTAGACTCCCATGTAGTCGATCACGGTTCAAGTCCCAGACCCGGCGGCTTAAACTCACACCAGGCGCGTGTGCGTGCGTGCCCAAGATCCCGAGAGGAGAATGGAGGAGAAGGAATTGCGGCGTGGCCATCCCACATTACCACCTGGGGGGTAATTTCTCATTTTCTGTTTCTCTGTCTCTTTCTAGCGAGCGCATGTGCCATATAGCAAAAACCTGTCCAGAAAGAAAGAAAGAAAGAAAGAAAGGAAGGAAGGAAGGAAGGAAGGAAGGAAGGAAGGAAGGAAGAAATACCCCAAATGGATGAACCCAAAGAGACAGAGAATGGATTAGTGGCTACAGAAGAACAGAGGGAAACCTCGAGTGACTGCTGAGGAGTGCGGGCTTCCTTCTGAGGTGATGAGCAAGCTCGGAATTAGATGGCAATGGTCATACACTGTGAGTGGCCTTAAGGCCATGGAATTGCACACTTTAAAAAGGCCAAAAGTGATACACTTTGTTATTTTTTCACAGTTTTTTAAAAGACACTCAAAGACCAACTTACAGCGGCTCCTCAGCCAAAGACACAACTATCGGAGCGTTAATATCGGCGATAACTGCATATTAAATGTGTTTCAATCACGAGTCCCTCGCAACACTGAAAAGCATGTCTTTAATGTTCATTAGTCCCTCTTGGAAGATTCTAGTGAGCCAACAAACTCATTTTCTTAAAACTTAAAGGGAAAAAATGAAGTATTCATCTCTCCTTTCCTTTGCAAAGCATGCCCTGGATAATCGAATGGAGGGAGGGGAAGTTTCTCTACACAGAACTATTCCACATAATCACAGGGAGGAAATTCAGATTAGACTATCATCAGATGGCAATCCCAGGGGAACTAGTGGGTCCAAGCACTGCACATCCCAAAAAGACACCCGCCGGACATTAGCATCCTCTGAGGGGAGGATGCTACACCTCCTGTGAAGCAGTCTTGCCAAAACAGGCAAATCTGCATCTGAGCAAACCTCAACATCTAAGGACAAATCTACATAAAGAACAAAAGACAAAGAGGCGTGTGGGTGGCCCATGGTGGGGTGGTTAAGGTGGTTGGATCCAACATGGCCAGTTGCATGGTTCAAGACCTGGAGGGAACCAGCAGTTAGCGTAATGGCTAGGTCGCTGGACTCCCACATAGTCAACTGCGGTTCGCGTCCCGGACCCGGTGGCTTAAACTCATGCCAGGCGCATGTGCGTGTGTGCCCAAGATCCCGAGAGGAGAATGGAGGAGAAGGGATTGAGGCGTGACCATCCCCCCTGGGGGGTGATTTCTCGCTTTCTGTCTCTATGTCTCTCTCTGACTGTCTGGCGAGCGCACGTGCCCTATAGCGAAAATCTCTCAAAAAAAAAAAAAAAAAAAAAAAAGACCTGGACACTGCAGCTTGAAAACCATGTCAGGTGCACATGTATCCATGCCCAATAGCCCAAGAGAACAATGAGGGGAAAAGGACTGCAGTGTGGCCATAATCCCCAGGGGGTGAGTTCTCACTTTCCCTCACTCTGTCTCTTTCCAGCAAGCACACACACCCTGCGGCAAAAACCTTAAAACAAAACAAAACAAAACAAAACAACAACTGACCGTGTTCTTTCTCTTCACATCCTTGCCACTGCAGTCCAATAACCGTCCCCTCCCTGAGGCAGGCAGGGATGAACAGGGAGCATCCTTCCCTGGAAATGGGAAAGAGGAAAGCATGTGAGGTCTCAGTTCGGTTCAACCCAAGTATGCCCACGAAGTGATTTTTAACTGTCCTGATTTTGCAAACCTTCCATCTCGCAGCCTGGGTCTGTGGGAACATGTGCAAATCCCCCTCAGTCCACTGCTCCGCCTGGTCCAGACAGGGTTGCTCCTGCCCAAGGAGCCACTGAGTCTTCTGCCAGGAGCCCAGCGTCCTCCAAGGCTCTTCTGTGCACACTCCACAGCAGCCGGGCGGGGAAGCGGGGACTTCATGACCACACGACCACACGGCAGGTGCCTCTCACAGCTGTTTTTCTTTTGAACTCTGTGTCTTTTAAATCCATAGATAATTTGCAACATTTTTACTGAGATAAAAATTCACATAACATGAAACTCGCCATTTTAAAGTGCACAGTTCGGTGGTTTCAGTATACCATGTTATGCAATCACCACAGTTTATCTAATTCCAGAACATTTTCATCGCCCCAGAACGACACCCCACAGAACAGGAGCACTCGCCCCCATTCTACCCTTCCCTCCACCGCCAATGCCAATGGACCGAATTACCTTCTCCGGACATTTCCCATCCATGGAATCACGCATGCTGTATTTTGTTCATCAGAGAAAGACACAGGGTGGGGCGTGGGGGGTAGAAAGCATCCCTAGTGGACATGGTCAAGCTGCAATCCCTTCTCCTCAGTCCCTCCATCCTGTCCGGATTTGGGAGCACACATGCACACACCCAGTATGTTTTTCACGCCACCAGGGCCAGGATTCAAACCATGGTTGGCCATGTGGGAACTGGCTTCCTTAACCAGTAGGTTGTGGGGCTGGCCCCTATTTTTGGTCCCCTCTCTTTAGTGGCAGACTGCTGCATCCTCTGCCCCAGCATCCCAGTTAGCCAGAGCACAGATGCTCACAACCCCACCGGATGCTCAGGTTGGTCCACGACCCCAACCCGGGCCTCCTGCTGGCCCTGCCCTGGACAGCAGCACCCAACACCTGTTCCACCACAGCTGGGCCTATCCACCCATCTGGTGACGGGCACGTGGGCCGGTGGGGGTGCTGGAACCTGTGCTGGGCCAGGGCTGTAAGGGTCAGATGCCCTGCGGTGTAGGAGCCTCTAGATGGCAGTGCCCAGCCACAAACAGCAGCAGATGAAGCAGCATGCAGAGGGAGGTGCAGGAGGGAGGGTGCGCACTGGCAGGGGGGCAGGAGCTCAAGGCCCCCAGCTGGTTAGCTCACTGGTGAGAACTGCTCCTCTTTGGGGCCTCGACAATAATGCTGCTAATGGATGCTTTACAGCCTCTTGGGAACTTACCTAGCCTCAGAGCATCTAATAGCTGTCCACAATTCTTGGAAGCAAATCTGAGTTCTTCACGTTGGCCTGCCCATCCCTCTCCTCAGTCTCCACCTCCTGCTCTCTATAGGGGCCAGGCACACGGTCTTCAGTCCCTTGCCACCTACACTCCTTGACTTGGGACCTGGGCAGAGGCTGACCCCACTGTCCGGACTTGCCTGCCCTCCCTCATCAGCCTGCAACTCCATGTGGACAGAACCACATCGCACCCATGACTGTGCCCATGAAGCAAGGTCAATGACACCTACCCTGAGTGTCCTCGTCTCGGTTAAATCAGAGAAGAGACTCTTAATCTAGATCCACAGATACACGGAGGCTGAAAGACTCAAGCAAACTCCTAGAATTTTTCTGGGGGAAGTACCTGTGGGCACCCCCTCCACACATTCTCAAAGAGCCACGCCTACCACCACCAAACCATCAGGACTCACTGGTCAAAGTCGATGGTTCTCAAGCCAGAGCCTCCTGGGAAGTGTTCAGATTTAGATATTCTACAACCCTTCTCCCTGCAGCAAGGTCTGAGTTGCAGGCTTGGGAAGGGCTTTGGATCCTTATTATTAATACTAGTGGTTGCCGGGGCCAGCAGGTGGTGTGGTGGTTAAAGGTGCTGGACTTCCACATGTCTGACCATGGTTCGAGTCCCAGACCTGGCAGTTTGCTTACTTACCTTCCATCTCTCTCTCTCATTATGTCCCTATCTGGTCAAAATAAAATTAAGTTAAATCAAATAATTCTTTCAAAAAAAAAAAAATACTAAGTGTCTGCCACCAGGTGTCTTTTGTAGTCTCCAAGGACCACAGAAACACATGCTGAAGTCTTCCTTGACCCACCTAAAGATCTTGGCAAAAGGCATCTTGAGGCTCCCTCGAGGGTTAACGTTCTCAGAGGCTTCCAGAAAACACACGACCCTCCTGGGGGTCACGTTACAGGTGTGGTGATGCAAGAGACCTCTCTGCCCTGCGGCTGCAGGTGGGGGCGCTGGAGCCTGTGCTGGGCCAGGGCTGTAAGGGTCAGATGCCCTGCGGTGTAGGAGCCTCTAGATGGCAGTGCCCAGCCACAAACAGCAGCAGCTGAAGCAGCATGGAGAGGGAGGTGCAGGAGGGAGGCTGCTCACTGGAGGGGCGGCAGGAGCTCAAGGCCCCCAGCTGGTTAGCTCACTGGTGAGAACAGCAGGAAGCTGGGGCATTCAGACATTTCAACCTAGCGATGGACAGGAGCGAGGCAGCCTAGTGACCTGCGATTCTGGATTATCAATAATGAAAGTAGCAGCTACATAGAAAACTCAGTGCCAGTGAGTTCAGCCAAATTAAGGTATTCTTGCCTAATTTCCCATCACATTACAAGCACTTCCCCACATCTTGAAATATATTTTTTTAAATGTGCTTTATAAAGGCTTCATAATTTTGCATCTAATGAAACTAGTAGGATGTGTTTAATCAGTCCCCTACCGCCATGTTTCCAGGTACCTGTCTTTACTCTCAGTAACTAACATTTCAACCCTACTGTTGAATAATGCTGTTCGTTCCCTTGGAATATATGTTTAGAAACAGGATTACAGGAGAGTTGAGACTGTAGCCTAGTGGTTAAAGGGAGCCAGATCCCACATGACCAGTGGTGGTTCAGACCCCAACCTTCATGGCCTGAAAAACACACCAGGAACATGTGGGTGTGTGAGTGCCCAACATCCCAAATGAGGGAGTAACAGAGAAGGGACTGCAGAGTGACCATGCTCCATCAGGACATGCTTTCTCACTCTCCCTCTCCCTCTGTCTGTCCCTCTGTCTCAGGTGAACATACCCACCCTTTGGCAATTAAAAAAAAAAAAAAAAAAAAAAAAAGAGCTAGGACCACTTTAAAGCTCTCGATAGATGTGGCTCTCTTGTTCTCGGAAATGTTTCAACACTTCGGGAGCCATGTGTGAGAGAGCACATCATCTCAGACTTCCTGCCCCACTAATCTCCACTGACCTTCCCCAAACTGTATCCAGGGCCACATGGATAGTGTGGTAAACACATCTTTCTGGGAGGAAATCCCACGTGGGAAGATTTATGGTTCAGGTCCAAAGACCTCCCTGACTACTGCCAGGCTCTCACTTGCCGATGGCCCAGAGCTGGCCAAGGCAGGTGATAGAACATGGTGTTAAGACCCTATTGGCAGGGCCAGCAGGTGGTGTGGTGGTTAAGGGCACTGGATTCCACCATGGCTGACCTAGGTTCCAGTCCCAAACCTGGTGGCTTTCTCTCTCTCTCTCTCTCTCTCTCTCTCTCTCTCTCTCTCTCTCTCCCCCCCCCCCCCTCTCTCCTCCCTCCCTCCTCCCTCCCTCCATCTCTGGTCAAAATAAAAATAAATTTAAAAAGTTAAATAAAATAATTAATAATTCTGAGGTTTTTTTTTTAAAAAGACCACATTAGAGAATCTCTCTTTCTCTCTCTCATTCATAGAATATAATTACATGAGTAAACTTTAAAAAAAAAATTGTATTCAAAATCCGATCTCTTTAAAACTTGAATGTGACAAGTTAAGGTTAGACCTTTTTTTTTATTCTCATATCTAAGGAATCTTGTAAAGACTTATATAAAATACATATTATTTTTTAAAAAGGGGGGATGAGTAGATAAGTGTAATGGTTATGTTGCTGGACTCCCATGTAGTTGACCGCAGTTCGATTCCCAGACCCAGCAGTTTAAACTCACACTGGGTGTGTGTGCATGTGTGTCCAAAACTGTATGAGGAGAATGGAGAAGGAATTACAGCATGGCCATGCCCCCCCAGGGATGATATCTTAGTTTCTGTCTCTCTTTCTTTCTCTCTCCAGTGAGCACATGTACCCTATAGCAGAAACTCTATTTTTTTTTTTAAGAATAAAAAGAGGGAATGGCCCCAGAGTCTAGTGGTTAAGGGAGCTGGATTCCACATGGCCAACAAGCAGTTCAAATCCCAGTACTGGTGGCTTAAAAAACATGCCTGCATGTGTGCTTGCATGCCTAAAATTCCAACAGGATGGAGAAATGGAACGGATTGTGCTTGCTGGTGCTTTCTCTCCCTTCCCACACACCATCTTTGTCTCTCTAGTGAATGCACAATTTAAAAAAAAAAAAAAAAACTAAGCATGGATACTGTTTTATTTTTTAGAGATTTTTGCTATAGGGCACGTGCACTCGCCAGAGAGATAGAAAGCGAGAAATCACACACCCCCCCAGGGGGGGTGGCCACACTACCACCCCTTCTCCTATTCTTCTCCGGATTTTGGATACACACACATGCGCGCCCAGTGTGAGTTTTGAGTCGCTGGGTCCAGGACTCGAACCATAGTCGACTACATGAGTCCAGAGACATAACCATGATGCCATCTGCTGGTCCCATAGATTCTAAAATTTATTTTGCACCAAAATTAATTTGTACGTTAATTCCACTTTCATGACCTTTTAAAGTCTCTTTGTATTAGTCATTTGTATTTCTGCTTCTGAAAACCCTCTGTTCATACCTTTTATCTATTTTTCCTTTATGACACAAAACTTTCTAATTCACATATAAAAACTATGTGTATCTATCAGGGAGGTTAGATTTTTCATACTTGTCATGGTTCCATTTTCTTTCAATTTTTTTTATTGGTGATAAATGAAATTTTACACTTCTAATCAATCTTGAAAAAATATTATTACCTTTATGTGTATAAAGTTAAATATTCACATAAATTTTCTCCCAGTTTCCAAATTTATTTTTTTTACATTTAACTTTTTTCCTTTTTTTTTTCTTTTTCAGAAGGCTTTCATGGAGCCTGTCCTGTATCACAAAAGTTAAGCACTGCATTAAGGAAGCTGGATCACACATGGCCAACCAGGGCTCGAGTTCCAGCCCTGTCGCGTGTGCTCATGCTCAGGATCCTGACAAGATGAAGAATCAGAGGGAAAAGGATTTCAGTGTGATCAGGCCCCATTAAAGGGTCTTTTCTCTGTCTCTGTCTCTCTCTTTCTCTCTCTCCCTTGTCTCGTGTGCACATACATGGCCTCTGGCTTTGAAAAAAATTTAAGTTTCTCTCACTTAATGATAGAGTGTGCATGCCTGCATGAAAGGGAAAGGGAGGGGCACCTTTGATGGGCGCTCTGCCACAGTGACCTTCCCCAGGACGCCAGCTCATCAGGACCCTGGGCATGCACACACACCCGAGTCTTCTCATCTACCTGGATGGGGGTAGGAACCAGCGGTCAGCCATGTGGCTTCCAGCACCAGTACACTACACTACAGACTGTGCCACTTAGGCGGGCCCACCACGAACTCTTCAATGTATTTCTTTTCCCCCATTAGTCATTTTCCCAAAACCATTAGCTGACTGAGCCACCCCTTCCCTGTCACTTGGTTATTTTGAGATGGACTACCAAGTTCTTACAGAACCATATTTTCTGAAGTAGCTATCATATTTCATGGTTTGTGCTAACACCTAACTTAGAATCAATACCATTTTATTCACTTATTTCAAAATTTCCAGGACTATTCTCAGCTGCAGATGCCGACAGCTGAATAGTCATACTTCTTAACACACCCAAGGGTGGCGCAACAGTCCACAATGGAAGTTCCCCGGCCCCTGTCTCGGGGCCTCTCCACAAGCCGTGTTGTGCAGCTGGGCTGGCTGGGACTAGGGTGCTGGTGTCTCTCTTCCTTGCTTCCTGTCTCTCACTCATGGAATAAACTTTAAAAATAAATACTCTGGGGGCAAGCAGGTGGTGTGGTGGTTAAGGTGTTGGACTCCCACACGGTCAACCACAGTTCATGCTCCCGGAACCAGCAGCTTGAAACTCACGCTGGGCGCATGTGTGTACATGCCTGAAATTCAGAGAAGAGAGTGGAGGAGACGAGATTATGTCTTTGGTTTAATGCTAGTGGAGGAAAAAAGCAAACTCTAAGGAAATGCCTGTAGTGTGATTGCATTCATATTTTAAAAACTCATAAACACATATGAATACATAGGAAGTGGTCTAGACTAGAGGTCTGGAAGTTTTTCTGTAAAAGGTCATTCTGTAGATATTTTCAGCTCTGTGAACCAGGTTTCTCTCACAACCATTAAGCTCTGCCTATGTAACATGAAAGGATCCTCAGACAATACCAAACCCCATGGCCGCATCCCATAAAACGTTATTTACACAGAGAGTGGATTGAATTTGGCCCTCAGGCTGTAGTTGGCTGATGATCAGTCCAGAGCAATAGATACCAAAGCGATACCTCTCTTCTCCCAGAGAGGAGAGCCAGAATCTAAGTTTAGGAGATAAATAGAAGTATTAGCTTTATCTGTTATGTGTAAGGGCAGTTCAGATTTATGTATCTATTTTACCATATTTAATAAATACTTATGTAGTGCTTGCAATATTCTAAGAACTTCGTAAGTAGTAAAGTCAGTAAATTCATTTAAGCCTCATAACAACTAGAAATAGAAACTATCCATTACCGGGGCCAGCAGCTGGCACAGAAGTTAAGGCAGCTGGATCCCACATGGCCAACTGAGTGGTTGAGTCCTGGATCTGGAGGCTTGACAATCATGCCAGGCATGTGTGCATGTGTGCCCACAGTCCTGAGAGGAGACTGGAGAAGGGACTGTGGTGTGGTCATCCCCCCCTTTTTTTTGGGGGGGGGGTGGATAATTTCTCTCTCTTTCCGGTGAGTACACAAGCCCTATAGCAAAACTTAAAAAAAATTAAATTTTTTTTAAAAAAATTATTCATTACCCTCATTTTACAAAAAAGAAAAGTGAGGCACAGAGCCAGGACTCAATCGACTCAGACAGCCTCTCTCCAGACCTAACTGTGCATTCACATTACTTTATCTAATCCTGCTGTGTTTTCTTTAAATATTGTTCGTTAATATTCTCAACCACTTTGACAAAGAATGCCGTTTTCCACCTCGGCCTCTGTGACACAGCTGGCAGCCTACAGGACTGTGGAGCTGGAAGCCACAGGCCAATTGCAACTTGATTCCCTGGCCTGGTCGGCCTAAAAACATTCAGCAAAAGCAGGTGTCTAGGATCCTGGTGGCCTGATAGCTGAAGGATAGCGGAGTGACCGAGCCCTGTAGAGGGTACGCTCTTGCTCGCTCTCTGCTGAGACAATGAAACACTACCATCTTCCTAGAGTGAAGAAAAAAAAGTTAAACAGACTTCAGAGATAAAATCCCAGGCTGGAATCCCAGCAGGGGAGCCTCAGACAAGTCACTCAGCCCTTCTGAGCATCAGCAAAGCAGACAGCACTTGTGCCCTTGGGGATGCAAAGCAGACAGCACTTGTGCCCTTGGGGTGCTTAGACGCATGGGGTGTGCAGGCAAAGCAGCAGGTGACAGTTGAGAAATAGGGTCAGCCGGTCATGGGGTGACTGCTGCAATTGGCTCCTCATACCTCACTGTGGGCACAGAAGCCCTGCAGACCAGGTGGGCTTCCTGTCTGTCCCCACCTGTCTGCACAAAGAGAAGCTAGAGTCGGTTTTGCACACCGCCATGTGTTTGTCTTCTGTCAAAGGCAGACAGGATTCCAGCCACACCAGGATTCCAGCAGGGACTCCTGAGGCAACACCCTGCAGGTAGGCCCAGGGACATCACCAGAACCCCACTCGATGGTCTGGGAATGGGAAGAACGTTGGGGTTGAAGCAGCAAGATCTAAACCCAGAGAATAAGCTTCTCCAAGTTCAGCCATCCAACCAGAAACCCCCCCACCCAGGACTGGCAGAGGACCCATTTCAGAGCCTGGGGAGAT